TTGGAAGCACTTCGGGAATCATATCAATCAAGTCACCACATTTCACGTAAAACACATTCCGCGTTTTACACATGTTTTTTCGCGGGGTGAAATTCGTTATGATCCTGTTCATATATTGGAGTTTCACAACCCGTTTTACGTGAAGGTGAGAAACGCGATATGCAGTAGTCGTGAAATGTGTTTTTCATATCACTAGGGTATAACTCCATTGAAATTTTCCAGGTATGAGTATAGTATTGGGAAATAAGATTCCGGGGGAGCTCGCATCGTATGGTGTCACCGCAAAAGGACACACAGCTGATACTGGCCGACCTGTTGCGGTTCCATTAAGGCTTGGTAATAATTTTGTGGCGAGTGACGGAAAATTTTTTGGTTTTTTTCGTTCAGGAGGGTTCGAAGAAACTGAAAGAATGTCTGAAAATGGCGTATTGGAGCTGCGAAATGAAGCCCTGCGGGAAAAGGGAGGGATCCGAATAAAAGCTGAACCGTAAGTGGTTGTTGTTTTTGGTGTGGTAGAATATGCACATGGTCAAGTACATGATGTGTTGGTGATGAAAAATATATGTTCGCTTTCCTCAGCTACTGAGCTCAGGAGTTTCCGAACCTATATTATACGAGTTCACATACAAATCCTAGTAAATTCGCAAAATTTCCTCTGATTTTTCGAATTGTCACCAAATTTTTCTCCAACGCTGCTGTTTTAGGTTTTTCGAAGGGTTCACGGAAACAGTGGCGATTCCGAGTGATATGCCATTTTCCGAGATGAAGGCTGTGCCGGGGCTACCTGAAGTAGCGAAAACTGTGGCGAGGAGGAGCGTGAGAATGCGAAAAAAGCTCTTAGAGCCGGCTGCGAAAGAGTACCGTTTTTGGGCCTGTTTTGAATCTTAGCATCTCAACCTTAAGATACGTCCAAGCTTATGGGGTGTGGTCGAAAATAGCTGAAGCTCGGCAGAGGGAGCTTCTGGAGCTATCGGGAGTTTTTGGGCATAAACAAACTGATCTGATACGAGCATTGGATGCGACGGTTTATAATCGTGAAGATAAGAAAACGTTCGAAACAAGAATTAGGTAAAATTGCCGCCACTGGAAATCGAACCTGTGCGGGGATATATGATTGGTTTCCTTACTGCAGTATGAAAATTGACATACGATTTGGGGTAAAAGTATGCAAAAACCTTGGAAAATCTCGGAAAATTTCAAAAAATCAGAAAATTTCAGAAAATTTCAAAAAAATCCGAAAATTTCAGGAAAATTCAGAAAATTTCGGAACATTTCTGGAAAATCCGGAAAATTTCAACTCTTAATTTTCATATTCTTACTAACACATGTAGTTGAGCATGTTCATGTATTCTCTCACCGAGAATCGAACCTGTGCGGAAAGAGTACCTGTGGGTTTCGCAGATCGCAACATTACCTCCTCCTGGGCAACCATGAGAGCTTTGGAGGTGGATGTTCGATTATGAACGCCCGTTCTCGAGGAAGGCATCATCCGAGGATGCCAGAGGCGCTCAAGGGGACGACCAGCTCGAGCGCTAAAACAGGTAGGGGGGGAGGATTGAAATTGGTTTCAGTGTGTTGAGTATTGATGGGTAATTCCGCTTATTGAGTTAACACAAGACAGACTTGTTTAGCCTGATTCTAACTTATAACTTACAATTACAATTACAACACTAGCTTGACGCTAGATATCTTAGCTAACACAAAGGGGAGCGACTCCATAGGGACAACAATCACACAACACAGTAGTGGAACAGTCGTGGAAAATATATTTCACGAATAAATTCGCGAAAAACAACAGTGTTTCTGGACTCTTTGCATTTAAATGGAGTATTACGCCACTTCATGTTAAACGGATGAAACTCCGTTAAAAAAAATAATATATTTGATTCTTTTATTTCCT